CCACCATATTGAAAATTCAGCCCGGGCCCCTGGGCATTGCCTGTGCCTCTCCTGCTCTGCATTTTCTCCTTAGCACTGTTGAGTGGCTAATATTTCTAATTTATTGTCTGTCCCTCCCATTAGAATGGAAGCTCCCTGAGGACAGGAATTCTGGTCTGTTTTGTTCTCTGCCGTGTCCCCCAGGACCAGACGGGATGTGAGCAGTGGGAGGGAGCTGTTTGTCCCGATGAGGCTCTGTGCTCAGGCACCAGCTATGTCAGCAGCCTCCCGCCTGGCCTGGGGGATGCCATGACAGAAAAAAGGGTGGAAGGAAGTGGGGAGCAATGCCTGGAGGGCTTTCTACAAAGGCAAAGGAGTTGGAGTCTGCCCAGGAGGCGATGAAAGTCCTCATCACAGGGGTGTGAGCAGGGAAACTGAAGAAGGTGCCTGTCGCTCAGTTGGGCCAGCCCGGGGTGGGTGGCTCGGTGCCCAGCCCTTGCTCTGCAGATCCTGACTGTGGGCACAGAAATCAGGAAAACCCTCCTTCTTCCCTGCTCGGCCCGTAGCCCTTGAGGGAGCCAATTATGGACTCACCTGCCCGCTCCCCCTCCCTGAGATCCCAGCTTCTCCCAAGGTCACCTTTCAAGGTCAAAGGGGTGGGACCGCCTAGCCCTTCTTCTCACCTTCTTCTCTCTCCCACTTCTCTCGAGGGATCCTGACCCAGTGCGATGGGCAGAGCCCCCACAGACGACCTGGGTTCCATCCTTCCCCAGCTGCGGGGCTGTAAGCATGCGGACGTGCCTTTCTTTCCTTGGCTGTATGCCTTATCTTCTTCATCCTTCAAGTGGCTTTAAATTGTCAGCCCCCAGATGTGGTCAGATCACCCGTCCTCTCCCCATCCCAGAAACGGCTGATGCCTTTGGAGAGAGAGGAGTGGGGTGAGGAGCCAGGCTTTGGGGAGCTGGGGATCAGGGACTTTCCTGATTCCCAACCAGCCTCTTTCCCCACCTTCCCTTTAGAAACTGGGCGGGACCCAGTTCCCTTCCACAGGCCACTGACATCAGCAGCACCCATCCGTGCCCGGCCAGGCCTCCCCGTCATCACGTAGCCCCTCGCAGGGTGTCTCTTCCGGAGCGTTCCCAGGCCGGTCCTGCAGTGGAGACGGGGCAGAGCGGGAGGGCTCAGGGCTGGGCCTGCGGGTGGTGTGGCCAGGCAGGTACCTCTCTCTTTAGGAATCATTAGAGGAAACATTCTGCACATATTGGCTTTATCGACTGATGCTGGAATGGCTGTTGCCACGGCAGCAGAGGCTCCCACTGCAGTAGAGGATGGTGGGAAACTCAGAGATGTGAAGGGAATCAAAAAAGAGGCAGATAGAGGGAGAGCTGCGTTAGGGAGCATCAGAAAGTTCTGGGATGACTATTTAAAGGGACCACCACATGGCCATGGCAAGGCCCTTAGAGAGTGACAGTGGAAAGGTGGGCAGGACAGGTAGACAGAGGGGACCAGCACCCCAGGGGATCGGCACTGAGTTAACTCATGAGATGAGCATGGAAGGAATTTCCATCTCCTAAACTGAGGGGTGGCATTTCCTGCAGGAGGGAGTGGGGAGGTTGAGATGGTGGGGAGGGGGCTGGGACCACCTCACTCTCTCTTCTGGACCACCCTCTCTTTGGGAAGGAGGTAGAATCTCAGGAGCTGTTTATTGAAGGAAAGGAGAGGACTTGAGATTCGCGGCATATGGTACCCCTCGAGAGGAGGCTCAGAGGAACAAAGAGGAGTAAGGAGCGGGAGGAGTCCAGGCTGAACCAGGAATGAATGGGGCACGAGATAACCAGGAAGAAGGGAGACCAGGCCGCGGGGCAGTGGGCCTCCAGGGACTGGCAGCTGCAGTGGACAGAGCAACAAGTGGAATGGAGTGTCACAGCAGTTGTAGAGACTAATGTGACAGGAGCCAAACTCCGGACGTGGACACCAGCGACCAGGGGCCATTAACCCAAGGAGAGAGGGCCAGGTTTTGCCTACAGCGGCCCACACTGGGTGGAGTGGACCACGGTGGAAATGTTGTTTTTCAGCCAGATGGCAGCCAGTTAATTTCTCCTTGTCTGCTCGGAGGAGATGAATTCATACGCAGGAAGAGATCAGACCACCAGCAAGGACTAGTGTAACCTGGGAGATCAGAGAACGGGGCCCCAGATCCTGCAGTTGCTGTTTTCAGGAAAGGTGGTGACTGAATTCTGTTGTTTTGTGCACCTTAGAGCTGCTCTCTGAGGAAGGAGGAAGACTTCAGAAGTGATGGTTTGGGACTGCATTGGAATTGACCCTTGGGATGGGGAGGGGCCGTGTTCCCCAGAGACCAGGCCCCGGGGATGGGCTTGACCCCTTCCTTGAGCTGGGATCTCGTGTTTGGGTGTGAGCCTGCGTACCTCCTGTGTACCCAGAGAGGAAATCTCATGCCTGGCCTCCTCCTTGGGGTGCTTTCTGTGCCCGCGCCAGGTTCTGGCGGGATCCCACTTCAGGCCCTTCAACCAGATCCTGTCGCTTGTCATTTGCTCTCTGAAGTCATCAGCCCTGAGTTTCCTCAGTGCAGGACACAGGCCGCAAGGCCAGTCTGCATTGCGCCCTCTGCCACAGGGCCTCCTGGCTCTCTTCTGCACCCCGCTCCTTTCCTCCACTCCTTTGAAGCAGTGCCGATGCTGCGCAGGTGTCAGCCTGAACAACTTCCTGCTTCCTGCTCTCCTGGTCCGAACTCTTCCCTACTTAGACTGCGTCATGTATTTGCCCGCCTGCCCGCACAACCTCTTACGCCTACACTCATGTGTATGCAGCCCCTCCTGCGTAAGTGCCGGATTCTGAAGTTACCGCAGTGGGCCAGCTGGGGTCCCTGCTCTCCGGGGTCCAGGGTCTCCCTCTTGTGTTCCTGTAATTAGTCTACACACACCTACAGCAGTCTACCTGTGAGGATGGGTTGACATGTGTGACACCGCTTTGTCACAGGGACAGGATTATTACTTTCCCGGGTCTTGTACTGTCTGTCTTGCTTTCCCTGCCAGACGCTGAGTTCCTAGAGGGCAGAATCTCCATCATTCTCTGTATCTCCAGGGTCCGGCCAAGGCTCCCTGCTCCTTACCCTCTGCTTGAGGACCCTGTTCTCAGCACTGTGGTAGGCACATCCTCTGTGCGACGACCCCGGTCCTTGCGGATTTTATGGCATCTCGATCCAGCCCTAGGATTGCGGAAGGCGGAGTCCTGGGGACACCACCAGCACCTGAGAGTCATGCAGGGTACAGACCCAGTATACAGCACTCAGGCCTCCAAATCCATTTAACCACCACAGTGGCAGCTCCTGCTGCATGCAAGGTGCCCCCTGAGGGCTCTGGTGCTGGTGGGGGAGATGGGGGCGTACACAGACACCCCTCACACCAGGAGGCTGGCACGGTCAGTGCTGGGAGAGTGGGGGAACCATGAGATTCAGACACAGGTTCTTCAAATTCCAGGGGGAAGGGGGAGCGGATGGAGAGAGATGGAGGTTGGGGGTGGGGCGGGCAGATAATCTGAAGGCTAGGCTAGCGCATCCTGGCAAAGAGTTCTTAGGGTTTTACAGCCCCAATGTGTGGCTCCCTCTGGGGCCCGTCCCTCCTGGAGCTAGCTTTGCTTTCAGAGACATCCCCTCTGATTCCTCCTGTCCCTCACTTTCTTGTCTGAGAGCCATTTGTCAGGCACCTTGGCCCCGACTTGGGGAGGTCGTAGGAGGAGGGGTAAGAGGAGGGGCAGGGTCGCCCTCTGCTGAGCTGGGGCAGATGGTTGCCTGCTCCCTTCCCCCATCTCTCTCCTCCCTGGGCCCAGGTGGGAGGCCGGAGAAAGGCTAGGAAAATGTTGTCTTTTTAAATTGCTCTGCAGCCCACTTGAGCTCTGGCAGGCAAGGGACCTGTGCCAGGCCTCCTGGTTCCCTGCGTTTACACAGCGCTTTCCAGCTCCAGAGTCCTTCCCAAGGAAGGTGGCCCAAGAACCAGTGTAAGGTTAGACAGACCCAGTGGGTGCAATGACTTTGACAAGGTCACACACGCAGTTAGTTAGAAGGGGGAACCCAGGCTCCTGAACCCCAGAGCTGGTCTTTTCCTCCAATGCCGCGACCCCCCTCCCCAGCCAACCCTGGGCCCTGTCTCTCCAAGCCACCCCCGTCCCAAGCGCTCTCCCTACCTGGGGAGGAATCCCCTACCTCTGGAGGGCAGGCTTGTGCCCCACAGACTAAAGTAAGGGGGCACTGGGAGTTTCCTGGGGGAACCAGAGACCTCTCCACCCCTCTCCCGCATCTCTCCCCAGGCCCCACGAGCCGCCCTGTCTCAGTGCCTTTCACCTGCACCCCCACATCTCAGCCGATCCTCCTCCCTCCCCTGGGCGCGGCAGGGGGCCACCCGTAGCCCTCGGAGAACCTGCCCCGCCTTTGCGTGCAAGGCGAGGACAAACACCGGTGGGGGTCCTTCAGCCCCCCTACCCCCTACTCCTCCATCCCTGGATCTCTGCTGCGCATACCACCCCCTCCCGAGCCAGAAATAGACGCGCTCCCACCTCCCTCCGCTCGGCACACTCCGCCCTCCTCCGGTCCGCGCCGCGCCCTCCCTCCCCTCCGGCCTCGGCTCCGGGCTGCAGCGGCGGCCTCGGCTCAGCCCGCGGCGGGTGCGGCCGCGGCGCTGCTGGGCGGGCGGGCGGGACCGGGCACCCGAGCGCCTCTGAGCGCCGGCGGGGCTGCGGGGCTCGCGTGCTGCTTTGGATTGATCTTTCCATTTTAATTTGTATTTTCCCCGCCCCGCCCCTTTTCCTCCGACCCCGCCCCATCGCTCCCCGGCTTCCTCGCTCTTTCCTTCTCCCGCTTCCTTCCCTGCTTGTCTTTCCCCTGCGCCCCCTGCTCGCCCCCTCCCTCCTCCCTCCCCCTCTCCCCTTCCTCCTCTGTTTCTTCCGTCCTCTCTCTCCCCCTCCTCCCGCCTCCTCCGCCCTGCGCTCCCCGCCCCCCGTGCCTGCAGACGCGCGGATTGTCCATGCGCTCCTCGCGGGCAGAATGCTGGGCAGCAGCGTCAAGAGCGCGCAGCCCGAGGTGGGGCTGAGCGGCGGCGGCAGCGGCGAGGGCGCGGACGAGCCCCGGGGCGCGGGCAGGAAGGCGGCGGCGGACGGCAGAGGCATGCTGCCCAAGCGCGCCAAGGCGCCGGGCGGCGGCGGCGGCATGGCCAAGGCCAGCGCGGCGGAGCTGAAGGTCTTCAAGTCCGGCAGCGTGGACGGCCGAGTCCCCGGCGGGCCGCCCGCCTCCAACCTGCGCAAGCAGAAGTCGCTCACCAACCTCTCCTTCCTCACGGACTCGGAGAAGAAGCTGCAACTCTATGAGCCCGAGTGGAGCGACGATATGGCCAAGGCGCCCAAGGGCTTGGGCAAGGCGGGGTCCAAAGGCCGCGAGGCTCCGCTGATGTCCAAGACGCTCTCCAAGTCGGAGCACTCGCTCTTCCAGGCCAAGGGCGCCCCGGCGGGCGGCGCCAAGACCCCGCTGGCTCCGCTCGCGCCCAGCCTGGGAAAGCCGAGCCGGATCCCGCGCGGCCCCTACGCCGAGGTCAAGCCGCTCAGCAAGGCTCCCGAGGCGGCCGTGAGCGACGACGCCAAGTCGGACGACGAGCTGCTCTCCAGCAAGGCCAAGGCGCAGAAGGGCTCCGCGCCCGCGCCCGCCGCCAAGGGCCAGGAGGAGCGCGCCTTCCTCAAGGTGGACCCCGAGCTCGTGGTGACCGTGCTGGGAGACCTAGAGCAGCTTCTCTTCAGCCAGATGCTCGGTGAGTCCTGCCTCCCCGCCCCACCCTGGCTTTCTCCTCAGCTGCCCGGGAAGGTGTGGGGGAGAGCGCAGCTCCCTCCGCTGCTTCTCCTTCCGGTGGGGCTCTCCAGATCCCGGGTTGGGTTGTGAGGGGGCATTGCGCCCAGATGTGCAGGCTTGGCCCACCTCCAGATGCGCATGGCTAAAGTGCGCCTTCTTCAAGATGCCACCAGGCGGGAGCGAGCCCAGGCTCTGCTCCGGCCTGCCTGAGGGGAGGCTGGACAATGGGGTGGGGGTCAGATTCTCAGAGATAGAGCCCATTACCCTCCTTGGATTTTAAAGCTCAAAATCCTAATGTGGCAAGATCTGGGGCCGGTGGAGACCTCAGCTGTGCGGTGGTCTGTGCTCGGCAAGAGAGCGTCCAGCATTGCTAGGGGCGCGCCAGGGAGAGGCCCGATCTGGAGGACGGATGTGGGGAAAGCAGATGTGAGGGCTGTTTGGCTCCGGAGCAGAGCTGAGGCTGCACTTCCTCTGTAGATCCCCGGTGGGAGCCCAAGTCGGATTTCCCGGGTGTGGGGGTTCTGGCAGGGAGACCGCCTGGGGCCAGGGGCCGGGCGGGCAGCCAGCTGTGCGCATCTGGACGCGCGTCCTATACCTCGGCCCGGCTCTGGTCCAAACCCCTACCCCCCGGGCTTTTTAGAGAGTGCGGAAAGGTCTGGGCTTTCGCGCCGAGCCTCCTGCTCGACTGGGAAGCCCTTGCCCTTTGGCTAATGGAAGCCGAGCGGGCGGGAAGGGAGGAACAAAGCTTGCCCGGGCGGAGGAAGCGCAGAGAGCTGTTCCATTGTTCTCCGGGCCTGAAGAGTCTATGCGAAAAACCCGGAGCGGCCCGGGAACTGCGCCTGCTTTCTCGGGAGACCCTGCCCCGAGAGGGATGGAGCGGGACGTGCAGGACGCAGGGCTGCGGTGGCCCCTGCAGGGCCGAGCTGGGGCCACGGCAGGGGGGCGGGGGAGGGCGGCGGGGACGGCGGCCAGGTCTGGAGCCAGCGGCCGCCCTGGCTCCACGGACTTGTTGCAGTGGCTGGGGATGTGTCTCCGGTGCCGAGGGACCGAGCTCCCCGGGTACCAGGCTGCTGCCCGCCCGCTGGGGGCTGGGAAGGGGCGTGTCCGTGCGCGTGGGAAGGGGCGGGGCCGACGCGGCCGCGGGGCCGAGTGACAGGCTGGACGAGGTGGGGCCGTGTGGATGCGGGGGTGCTCCTGGACCCTGGAGAACGCAGGGCTGGAGAGGCCTGGTTCACCTGCTGCTGTCTCCCCAGGACCCCCAGACTCCTGGTGGGCCAGGCTGAGGGACCCCTGGCCAGGGGCAAGATTTGGATCTGTCGACTTGGACGCTGGTGCTGGTGGCCGCGTATGGGCTTTGCAGGGGCAGTCAGGAGGGTGGACAAGGGAAAGAGGGGCAGGGGCAGCCCTTTGCCTCCCCTCCCCACCCAGAGCCTCTCAGGAAGGCCCTGCCTGGTCAGGGACAGGTGGCATGGGGTTGGGGATGCCAAAGCCCACAGGGTGGCCTCGGCCTCAAACGGAATGGGCCCCCCTGTGCTGAGGGCTGCCTCCAGGAGCCCACAGTCTGATAGGGTGAGACAGACAATGAAGGAAACAAGAAATAAGACAGGAACCAAGGAGGGCTCCAGAGAAAAGAGAGGGGACCAGGGGTGGAGACGGACGGGACAGGAGAGCCTGCGTCAGGGCTGTCTAAGGAGGCGACGGCTGAACTGTGTCTGAGCAGGAGGAGGAGGCACTGAGGCTGGGGGAGCAACACTCCCTGAGGGCCTGAGAGGAGGGTGGGAGTGGCGCCGAGGAGAGGAAGGCGGAAGGGACTATCAGGGACACAGAACAGCAGAGGGCACAGCTCCCTTTTCAAGGTCAGGGCTTCACCTGTTGGGCTGTCCCCAGACCTGCCAGTGCCAGCACTGCCCCAGGACCTGGCCGCTGGTGGAAGCCCGGGTAGCTGCTTCGCAAGAGGCAGGAGCCGAAGAAACCCTGAGGAGTCGTCCTAGAGCTGGCTGGAGATGGGGAGGGGGGCAGAAGGGGGAGGAGCTGAGCTGTGGTCCCTTCCTCCTGCTCAGCAGGTGTCACTTCTCGGCAGCCTTGGAGATGAGGAGGGAAGACTGCCTCCTCCTTCCCAGGTGGGAAATGCAGGGTCAGAAGCGTGGAGGGCCTTAGAGTCACCTATGAGTTAGCGGATCTCCTGATGCCTAAGTCACAGCTCTACCCAGGAGACCCGGCTGAGAGGAGGAAGTCGGCGGGTGTCTGCTGGGCAGGGGCCTGCCCTGATGACCCCACAGAGGGCCGAGGGGCTTAGCTCTGGGAGGGGGGGCTGGAAAGTCTGGCAGACACGCTGGCCTGTCTCTGGCTGAGAGGACTCAAGGTGGGGGTAGGCCTAGGAGGATAGTGCTGGCACCCCATGGCTGTGAGGAAGGAAGCGGGTGGGAGCTGGTGGCCTCCAAGCAAAGTCTGTCTCCCCTGTGAAGGTGGGAGGGGGGACCGTAGCGCCCACGAGGGTGTCAGGACCAGCCCTCGCTGGACAGCAAGGTGGGCCCTGGAGAGAACGGCTGCCTCGATGCCTCAGGATAGTGGCTTAAGACACAGAGTACTGTCCCCACCTGGGAGGCTCCGAGGCAGGCTGCACTCACTCCTCGGTGCTGTCCCAGACCCGAGAAGCTGCCAAGACCCGGTTTCTGTGGGGAGAGGGGTGTGAGGCAGCCCCTTTCTGGAATAAAAGGAACAGCTGAAACTTGATCACTGCTTCCCAGAAATCAGCCGGGGCCCAGATGGTTGGGCAGGCTCCCTGCTTCTTCCCTCGCCTTGGAAGCTGCCAGATAACTAGGGTCCCCCTGGGGAACCCTAGAAACTTGGAAGGCTGAGGGGTGAGTGCCCAGAGGAAATGGGCCAGTCCCAGGAGTCCGATGCCTTTGGACCCTGGTCGATGGTCCACATCAGGCAGTTTGGCGTCCAGAGGAAAGGCCACCAGGCCTGGGGCCGGGCGGGAGGCTGCAATCCTGAGTCCCCTGTCTGGAAGTCCTAAGGTCCGGGACCTCCTCTGGGACTCAGTTTCCCCATTTGTGAATGGAAGAGACCCTCCCATGGCTCTTCCTTACCTAAAAGGTCCCAGGTGGCTTAAAGCGAGCCTGTGTTAATACAGAGCAGGGAAGTTCACAGTCCCACTCAAACTGCGTTCCTCCTACCTCATCAGCCTCGGGCCTGAGGATCTCAAGGCAGAATCAGTCCCCACACATCCAGCCCTCCAGGCAAAAGGACAAAGTGGGGTGGCTAAGGCACGCCGAGGTCGGGGTGCAAAGGAGTTCCTAGTCCCACCTGCGTGTCTGGACCCAGATGAGGGGTTGCCATGACAACAGGCCCTCAGAGAGGAAGGAAAGGAGGAAGTTATCCGTTTCTAAGCCAGTTGGTTGATGTGGGGTTTGGGGGGCGCGAGGGTAGGGTTTACGCTAGAGAGTGTGTTCTGGGATGCTCTGAACAGGGCCGGGGGAAAGATACCGCTGCTCAGGGCTTTTCTTCCTTTGTATTCAATGCACTTGGGGGTTGGGGCGGGTAGAGTTCCGTAAGTTCTCTGAAGAATTGATGCCCAGAGCAGACAAGTGGATGTGCGTGCTCACCAGCACCCCGTGTCAGAGCTCCACACCCAGAGCCGCTCCCGATGCCTTCCCAGGGCTCCCCCGAGGCCTGGCAGGGGAGCAAGGACAGCACTCACTTCTCGCCTTGCCCCGAGCACAGCTGGAGGCTGCTTGTAGGATCACAGGCCGTGGCAGGGTGTGGGGTCTGCAGGGGAGCGTGTTTGTGAGTGGGGAAAGGAACTGGCTGGAACCTTCCAGCTGTGAGGCCTCCTGCCTTCCTCAAGGTTGGCGCTGAGGAGAGCGTTTCTCTTTTCCTGTGTTCGGCTGTTTTTCTTCCAAGGCCGGGCTTGGTGTTCTGCAGGCCCCACCAGGCCTGGCTGCCCTCCTCTGGGCCTGGCCTTGTTCACATGCTGCAGCCAAAGCTGCTCTCCTGTCCACAGGGCAGCCGCGGCTCTGCTTCTGAGAGTGACAGGTGGATGGATGGATGGATGGATGGATGGGTGGCGGGGTGGGGGGGGGTGGGTCTCAGGGGCTGTTCCTCTGACAGATGGAGCAGAAGACCCCAGAGCTTCTCTTCTTCCTTGAAGCACAAACCGACCCTGGGAGATGCCCTTTATCCTCAGTGGTGGCTCCAACCCTAGGCCACAGGCCCCTTCTAGATGTGGATTGAGTGGGTCACAGGACCAAGCCACCTGGAGTCCTGGGGTGTTTCCTGACGCCTCCCTCTTGTTCCATATCTACTATGGTGGCTACCATGCCTGCCCCCCGTGACCTGTCCCCAACAGCACACACTTTCTCCTCTGCTGACCTCATCTCGCCTTTCTCTGCAGCTGTCCCTCCACACACACCCCGCCCCCTGCACCTCACAGCCTCTGACCCCAAGGGCTGAACATGCAGGTTACTCCATGGGGCCCAGGGGAGAGCTAGCCCTGCGTGACCATGCCGAGCGGAGCCCAGGGCCCATCGCTGCCACTCGGCACCCTTCCTGCTGCTCCACCCCTGCAGCACACTGCAGTGTCTTCTCATACCAGGGAGAGAGGAGCCCCTCCTCTGTGCAGAGCCCTCTGCCTCCCTCCCCTTTCCTGGATTCACAGAACCACAGAAGGGGGATTGTCTCATCCAGCTGCCCACCTAGAGCCGAAATGAATTCCTCTGCAGCATCGTGGGCAGGTGCTTGTCCTGTTTACATGCTCCTGGTGACAGAGGGCTCACTACCTCATTTCCCTGGAAAGCACTCATTATTAGAAGGATCTTCCTTCTGGGAATTTCCACCCATGGGTCCAGGCCGGCTCTCTGGGTCCTTCCGGATGAAGCTGGCCTGCCGGTCACAGACCCCCTTTCTCCTGAGGTCAGACACCTACCAATGGTCCATCCCGTCTTTTCTCCCTTCGCCTTC